TCTAGAACCCTGTGTTCATAATTTATCTAATATCCAACTCTTCCTTTCCCTATTTCTCATAGATTAAAGTCCTAGGACCTGCTATTCACCCTCCCATATTCTATGTATATCCCCATCTGCAGCTGCATAGTGCTGTCTCCTAGACAGAGCACACTGTCCTAGAGTTCCATGTGTGCTGAGCCTTCCTGAAGTTTCTTGCTTATCCAGGGAACCACTTGGCTGATGTCTGCTACTCTTCTCTTACATATCCTGTATTTTTCTTCCATCTGCCAGCCATTTGTTTATCGAATGCTTGTGACATGCTAAGTTTAATGCTAATAGCAGTTCATAAATGTTCTCATTTCATCATTATGACAGTCCTAGGTAGGTTGGTTCTATTATTATCCCTGTCTTAAAGATGAGGAAATTGAAGTTCAGAGAGGTTAAGTAACTTATCTGATATCTTACAGATAGTAAGTGGCAGGGCTAGGATCATAACCCCAGTCTATTCTACTCCAGAACCTGAGCTCTTAACACTGGCCTCTTTTGCCTATGTGGTGGCTATCCTTCCACACTTGTAGCTGAGACTGGTCCAAGTGTATGTTTAGGCACATACTACTAGCTTCTTTTTGTTCTTCTTAGCTCTGTTGTGCCTGACTAGACCATGGGACACATATGGTGCAGATGACCTGGAATCATGTTGAGTTCAAGGATTCTGGGATACTTACATTTATCAGCACTTGTTTTGCACACAGTCAGCACGCAACACATTTAAGGGGATGAACAGCATGGAGGCTGTCATACTGTCATACTGTCCTTAATATTGTACCACAGGTAAAAAAATTCCCAATGCTAAGGTAATAGTATTTCCATGATTCTAAAATGAACCTATTTTTAAATTGGATTCTGCTTTATAAACAACAAGGTTACTTAGCTTGTTGCATTTTACAGAAATTCCTTCTTTATCCAGAAATGTGGGTACATGCAAAGAGATGTGTGGGCTCCATTCTAGAACATGTCAAGTTCACCATTTTTATAGCAAATGAGGTATGAACAGGCAAACTTAGGGTTCCAAGTTCACCAAGAATGCTTGTCAATAGCAATGGCATATTTCCACCCAATAGAATCATTATATGAGGGTAAAATAAAGTATCTTCTCTTCCATTGAAGTCTGGCTAAAGGGCAAGAGAAGCATCTAATGAATTTTGCTGTGTGTGTTCAACTTTATGTGTACGTGCGTGTGCATGTGTACAAACATGTATTTGCACATTTATATGTATACATATATTATGTGCATAGAATGTTTAAGCAGGTATGCATATGTGTGTGTGTGTTTGTGTGCATGTATACAAGATAGAATAAGACCCAAATGAGAGCAAACATGAAGGTTAGATTAATCTTTTTGGAGTTTGAGTAGTTTGGGGTGAAACCTAAGTTTGCAAGGGAATATTGTAATGACTTTGTGGTGGTTAGTGCTTATTATTCAATAAATAACAAGTGGTAGCCAGATAGGAAATAAGACTGAAGGTTAGGGCTATGGCCATGTGCTTATTTTTTTTTTTTTTTCATTTTTCTTTTATTATTCATATGTGCATACAAGGCTTGGTTTATTTCTCCCCCCTGCCCCCACCCCCTCCCTTACCACCCACTCCACCCCCTCCCGCTCCCCCCCTCAATACCCAGCAGAAACTATTTTGCCCTTATCTCTAATTTTGTTGTAGAGAGAGTATAAGCAATAATAGGAAGGAACAAGGGGTTTTGCTGGTTGAGATAAGGATAGCTATACAGGGCATTGACTCACATTGATTTCCTGTGCGTGGGTGTTACCTTCTAGGTTAATTCTTTTTAATCTAACCTTTTCTCTAGTTCCTGGTCCCCTTTTCCTATTGGCCTCAGTTGCTTTAAGGTATCTGCTTTAGTTTCTCTGCATTAAGGGCAACAAATGCTAGCTAGTTTTTTAGGTGTCTTACCTATCCTCACCCTGGCCATGTGCTTATAATAGGACATATTTATAACTAAACTGACTTATAAAATGATAGTTATATGATTTTTTGGATTTAAGAGATAGTCTATGAAAGTATTTAATCTCATGGAAAAATACCTTGATATAGTTTTCATCTGAAATGTTCCCTAAAGGTCTGGTCCCTAGCACACAGTACTATTGGGAGGTGGTGGAAGCTTTAAGAGGTGAAGTCCAGTTGGAGGAAGTTAGGGCATTGGGGGAGTGTCCTTGAAGGGGCTATCCAGGCCCTGTCCCCTTCTTCTCCACTTCAGGCCACTATAAGGTAAACAGCTTCCTATACTGCATGTTCCCACTATGATATACTGCCTTGCCGTAGGTCCCAAAACACAGGACCAACTGATCATGTACTGAAATCTCTGAAACTATGAACCAAACTAAACCTCCCCTCCTTTAAAGTTGATTATCTCAGATATTTTGTCACAAAGCTGATTAATACAGATCTGAATGTGGAATCAAGATGCTCATATCATTTTCTTGCCATTTATTAGATATATGATTTGGGGCAACTCAGCCTATTTTTGCACACAGGGACAAGATAAAAACCCTAGCCTCTTCCACAGAATTCAATGTTGCTGTAATTTAAAGCAAGAAACAAAAACAAACAAACAAACAAAAGATACCATGTGTGAAAAAACTGTCCCAAATGCAAAGTTCTACAGCATATAATTATTGTTATGTCTGGCATTAGGCTCATTTGTGTTTTAAAATAGATAACATTAGCGAACTAGAACAATGAGACCATGTTTCTGCCTCAAGTGGCTTGGCATTTACTAGTTGTATGATTTGGGGCAACTCAGCCTATTTTTGCATGCAGGGACAAGATAAAAATCTGGGCCACTAAACAGCAGAGGGAGATGAGCAGGTAACCAGGTGTGGGTACTCTTATGTGTGTGGAGATCCCATTAGCCAGTGGATGAAAGCTTTGTCTACTTCAAAAGACAGGCTCTTTATTCATGATTTTGATAAGATAGATACTTATTTCTTTATCACTTTTTTTTGGTGGTACTAGGGTTTGAACTCAGGGCCTCATGCTTGCTAGGCAGGCACTCTACTTCCTCCTTTCTAGTCTTTAAAACATGCAATGATTTATACTTTTGTTCAATTATGGATTGAATTGAAGAGTCAAGGAGTCCAAAGTAGTCAGCCTGAAAATTCTGAGAATATACAGCTATACAAGCAGAAATGTGATTCAGGGGAATTGCATGGGCAATGAAGTGGCAGATTTAGAAGCCAAGCTATTTCACTCTTCTTAGTTGGGCAGGAGGTTGCCCTGGCAATCTCATGGACACCACTCAAGAAAAACATGTAAGTAGTCAGGCATAGTGATGCATACTGTAATCCCAGGAGAATCATCAGTTCAAAGCCAGCCTGGAGTACAAAGTGAGACCCTATTTCGAGCCCCCCTCCCCCAAAATGTGTCTGTATGTGGGGTGGGGCAGAAAAGATGAATCTCTTGCTCTGGCTAGTTACATGTACACTGACAGAAGAGTTCCATTTGTGAGCTACATTACTACATGAAAGGGAAAAATATTCACCCTCTATTACAGACCTCTCTAGAAACCATCACAGTACCAGTGATAGAGAGAAGTAGAAGATATTATCTCTGGCTTTTAGAGAAAGTGGTACAGAGAAGCCAGGCAACCAACGCAAGAGCACTGCTCCTGTCTACTTTTATGCTTAGTATTATTGAGAAGATGATCTGACAAAGTTAGTTCCTTTGGTTTATTCTAATAACTCAGTCTGGCCACAGGGCCAAGTGCCTAGGGCACAAAATTTAAGGAGGCAGTTGCTCCCAGTGCACTTCCTGTTAGTGCCTTCTTAAATTTTGCATCCTAGTATCCTTGCTTGCTTCACTCTAGTCCAGGGCCTGCCTAGAAGACCTTTCGAGACATTCCCACTGGGAAGTCAGGAGGGCAAAGTTTTATTTGTAATTACTACAGCTTCCTCTCCCCTAGTTCTTGAGGTCTGACATTTTGGCCAGGCATATTCCTAAACTATTGCCACATGGGTGGAACTTCATGTCAGTGGCTCTGTGCTTTTTGGGAGGAGTTACTTGTCATTTCTCTGAAGCTCTGACTTCAGTGAAGTTGCAGGACTATTAGTAGAGAGGGAGAATGGGGGATAAGGACAGGACAGCAAAATTTCTGAGAATAAGAGGGAATGAGGCACTGGGATGCCACAGGAGCCATGGGAAAGAGGGTAGGGATGGTGGATAGAGTGGCAGTAACTAGCTTGGAAGTCTCCAAGTAAGACTTGAAATTTTTCCAGTAACATTGGAATCCCTTTACTCAACACAGTGAGCACTGTGACCTGTTCTTCACAGATTCGTGCCATTTTCTGCTCCCTTATGAGGTCAGTATTATGAAAACAAGGCTACTATTAGAGGGCTTTTCTTTTCCCTTCTTTCCTCTCTCACCGTCCAGATACCCCTCCTATGCCTCTCCTTCCATCTCTGTTGAACTTTCCCTTCTATAAATCATACTGCTTTTAGATTCTCTATTGCCTATGAATGACTGAATTTACTTTTAGATACTGGAAAAAATCAGTCATTAAATTAATCAGATTAAAACAGGTTGCCAATGGAGTAGTGTCCCTGTATTACTTTATTACTTTGCCTTTATAGTATTTTATAATTTCCACACACATCATTTTATTTGACACAATTCTGTATACTAGATAATATTAATGCAACAACTTTATGGATGAAGAAACTGAGGTTCAAAGAAATGGTGACTTTTCCAGAGGCAGATAACTAGTGTATGTGCAAAGTTTGGACCAGAATTTAGCTCTTTCAATTCCTATTTCAGAACTTTTTCTACCAAGCCTTTTTGTCACTCTAATTCACTAAAGGATGAGGTGGGCCAAGCAGTAAGGATGCGTTCAATCAGCTTAACCCAGCTTTTCCTCCTATCCTGACCATCTTTTGACTTTACCTTTTTTGGGACCAATTCCTCCTACCCCATCACATCCTCTGCCCGACACCCAGTCAATCCCTCACCTGGGTGGTCCAGATGGGACACTATTAAGTAGATGGAGAAGTCCAGGAAAGAGCAGTTGCACTTCCAAGGGTTTCCACTCAGATACAAGGTTCGGAGCACCACAAGGTGGTGGAAGGCACCGTGGTCCAACGTCTGTAAGCCAGTATTTCTGAGGTCCAGGTACCTCAAAGAGCTGGTGTTGGCAAAGGTGTACTTGTCAAGAGATGAGAGGTGAGGGTTGTTGGCAATGTTGAGATGCACCAGGTTGCTGAGCACTGAGAAACTGAATGGGGAGATGGAGGTTAGGTTGTTGGAGCTGAGGTCAAGGTAGACAAGTCTGAAGACTCCGATGAAAGTATAATCCATCACCTCTCGAATCCGGTTGTTCTGACAGTCCAAGTACACAAGGTCACTGAGGAGTCCTAGATACATAGCTGGCAAACTAGTGATTTTGTTATCCTTCAAGGATAGTCTCCGGGTGTTCAGGGGGATGTCAATGGGGTATTCCGTTAACTGCATCCCTGTGCAGTTTACTTCTTCATCTTGACACTGACAGTTACTTGGACACTTTGATCCTGATACCAGCCCCATTCCAAAGGAAAAGAGTAACCATCCAGGGCCAGGGCCTGAAGCAAGGGACATAGTAAGAAGCCACTACTCCCCTTCTTTGCACCTTACTGCAGCTGGGCCGGCACTGTCCCTCTGATCCAAGGCTGCTGAGGGATGGGGTGGGACGGGGGACGGGTGCTGGAAAGAACTGTAACACTCTAGCTTTGTGCAAAGCAATTTTCCATTACAGGAGAACTGAACAGAAGTTGAAATGCGAGGCCCAGTGCCCTGCTGCCGGCTTGGTAGATCTGCAGCTTGCTTGCTCAGTCCCAGACTGCTACTGGATGCTTGCCCACTTGGCTGCTTTCAAAGGTCTCACCCTTTCCCTGTGTTTGCAAGTGAAGGGGAGCCAGGGGAGAGCCACATGACAATGAGGTTGCCAGTTGACACCTTTGTGATGTCAGCAGCCTCAGGAGATTGCCCAGCTGAGGGAAAGAGACTTCTTACTTCTCCTTCTGGGTGGTGTGGGGGTGTGTGTTGTATACCTTGGTAAGCTTGCTGTCCCTGGGGGAATTGGGGCTTCCTGGGTAGGGTCCTGTACCATGTGAGTTGTGGGGGGGGGACATGCATGAGTTCACCGGGTGTATATGTGTGCCAAGGTGTGCCTGAATGTCCACACTGGCTCCTCATGGATGTGTCTGAGAGAATGAGGCTATATTAGACCCTTAGTCCACAGGCCATAAAGGGGTCATAGTAGCTTCCCAGCTCAGCTCCCCTTTCTACTGATGAGCAGTGACTTGCTTTAGGTCAGCTCTCACAGTGGGCCTTTTCAGAAGATGGAAAAGGAGGTGTCTCCATTGTAATGAGACAAAGGGAATTAATCTGATAAAGAGGTCCTCCTTTAGGATTTTATTCCTAGGTTGCATTCACATCCCTCTTCTGCATTTGTAACATATATGTGTACTAGTACTTTGTAAAACTTTTTGAATAAGTATAAGCTACTCCCCTTAACACAAAACCCAAATGTACTCCAAAAGAATTACAGTGAAGTAATATGAACTATTTCTTACCACTTGTATTCTCCTAGGACTTTTTAAAATTGTGAGTATATCTCTAATGCTTCTACTGTGAATTTCTACTCATTTACTACCTGACAGATGATGGGAGTCTTTTGGAGGGAGGGATGGCATCTGGAAGCTTAATAGTTGGGGTGTATTGTTCACTTCATGGAAGAAGCCACATGGACAGAAATGAAGATAAAGCCTTTCAGGAGTTTAAATGCATATTTCCCAGAAATTCTGCTTTCTTCTTTAAAATATTCACATGTAACTTAGCTGTGAATATTAATATCACAATGAATCCTACATGTAGCTTAGCATAGTGCCAGGCACCTGGTACGTGATAAATATTTATTGAATGAATGATGCGTGAATGTCTCTGATGGTTTGCTTCCTTTTCTTGCTTCTCTGCCAAGAGAGAAATTAATAAAGTCAAGTGGATTCGTGGCTAGTTAGCTAATGCTTGATTATGTTTACTTAGTCAGCATTCCTTGGGTGACTGGCTATGAATTAATATGATGACTTAGGAGTGTTTACCAAATTGAAAGTGACCTTATTTAAGTAGAAATTTCAAACACTTAAAGTAATGACCTAAATGATCATTGTACTAATTGAAGCAGGATATAATTGATAAGGAAGCCACCCTTTGTTTATAATTAAAAAAATTCTATTAAAAATAAGTTCATTCCTAGATCTTATATGATTGCCCAGGAAAGAAATTTGAAACATAAACTCTATAGAACAGAATTAATTTCCAAAGTGGCCATTTCCTCTGGGAGCTTGCTAGGGTGTGCTGCATAGGTCAGGATGCTTTGTTAGGAGTGGGCTGTTTGTTGGCTCCTTCATTTCCATAAGAGGTGTTACTGACTGACCTTCCAAGGTTCATGGAGTGATTTTGTGGACTTCCCATTATTTCTTTTGTACCATTCTCCTCCTTTGTGACTCTTCCTCAGAGAGGAAGGATGTCTCATTTAATTTCCAGCCTTATCTAGACTAACTTTTCAGGACAAAACCTTGGGCTTGGATTTACATGTTGTGTCCTATGATTATAAGTGCTCTCACTTAGAAAAGCATTAGATAAATAAATCCTACTAAAGTTTATTAACTAGTTAGCTATGTCTCACTCCATTGGAACAAAGCACCATGAATGGTTAAAGTGAAAGAATATTTCTTTTGCTTCAGGTACTGGTATATTTTTAGTCTTGAAGGCTGAACATTCATGAGTTCATTTCAGTTTTGCCAAGTTAGACCAGATCCCTGAAAATGTGCTCATTTTGAGAATGAATAAATGTTTGTTGGATAGAGAAAGTGTAGCCCTAAGAAAGGAGAATAGACAATATACCATTTCCTAAATTCCCTGATTTTAGAACCTTAAATTATTTTTTTCAAGGAACATCTTGTGTGACAATTGTGTCTGCCCTTGGTTGAGTTACTGAACTTCTCTGGTATTTATTTTTCTCATTTACCTTTTGAGGGATGTTGGCTAGATGAAGCCTTCCAAATTCCTTCTTGATGGAAAGGTTTCAAGTATGACCTAGAAAATCAGTAGAGGAACTATTATGGGGCCACAAGAAGAGCCTTCCTCTTCCTTCTAATGTACCATGTGGTCCTACTTGTCCAGTTGCTGCAAGAACAGCATTCATTGTCCGTAGCAAGCTATTCTTGAAGCTTCAGTAGCAGCTGGGTTGCCCTTAATGTGTGAAGCTGTTTCATCAGGCCATTGCTGTTCCTTAGATGGCCCTGTACCCATCCTTCCAGGACAGCTTGGGGGCCAGGTGAGCACTGTGAAGGCCTCCTGTCAGTGTGGTCTCAGCAGTTGAGTCTGGTGGCAGGCAGGCTCCTGTTTGCAGCCATATCTGATTGAATACTTCCTTCCCTGCTTAAAGGTTCCTCCCAGGTGCCAGCACATCACCAGAAGCTCTCTTTTGACCCAAAAGACAGGTGGGTGCAGCTCCTAATATTATAAAAAGGCAGGGCAACACGGCAAAGCAATCCACCTGAGACACTAATGTTCTTTCACAATAAGGCCATGTGATTTTGTGACCTCCTGGGGCCTCAATCTCCTTTCTGTAAGTAAAGCTAGACAGGATGCCTTGGGCCCTCAGAGTTTAAAAATTGCATCAAGATGCAGTTGGGAAGAGAGAGGATGGATGCTTGAAGCTTTAAGGCCCAGCAATACGGATAGTCAGGCAATTATCTAGAGTTTGGCACAGTGTAAGCAAGCCCTTATTTGCTAGTTAAGTATTGCCTGGGTATAGGTGCTAAGGGAAATTTGATTTTGCATACTTTTATTTGCTCAGGAAGAAATGAGCAGCAAAAAATGTGCCATTTTATTAGTTAAAACTCTGGATGTGCTCAATTGAGGACTGACGAGGGCTCAGCAACCCAGGGACATACAACACAGAACTTGGTTTTGCTTCTGGGGCCGGGAATGTCATAGGTTCAGGTCTATAGGAGATCAAAATTTCAAGGACTTTGGTGTAGGAGCCACTTATGGTATCTGCTTTGCCCCAGACTTTGACACTGCCCTGGCCTCCTTCAGCAATGTCAACTCTCACCAAGTGTGGGTTTCAGGGTAAGTCACATGGAAAGCAGATAAAAATGAATAAGAAGGGCAGCCTGGAAGAGAAAAAACAGTTCCAAATGTGCCGGGAGGACTGGGGTGGTCTAAGGGCTAAGTAGGTGTGTGTGGATTTGTCTATAGAGGAGACTGTGTCTGTTTTTAGTACCAGCTGGTATAAAGTGTTTTTATCTTTTCCTTTCAGGTTGCCCAACTCCCCATTCAAGAGACTTGGACCCTTACAGAGTAAAAGCCAGAGGAAATCACTACAATTTGTTGTGTTCCCCAGGGGTGCCTTCGTTTTCAGAGTTCGTCCATGTTATGCATTTCTGTGGCATTCATTATCCAAAAGAATTCTCTCTAGTTTTAGGGGAGTAATTGGGTTCCATTTTCAGCTCATAACAAATGTGTGTAGTACTGGCATGGTTAGGTGTATGTATTGTCCTTATGCCTCAAATGGAGATAGGGACTTTGGCAACTATCAGAACCCATGGTCATGGGAGACCACGTCTCTCTTTGTAGGTGCTTTGTAGATTTCCGTGTGGGAGAGACAACTGTGTAGTAAGAACTTTAAAATGAGAAGCCTGTTTATTGAGTGGCTTTGGGCAAGCCCCTTCACTTCTATGGGCATTAGTTTCCACTTTGGTAAAACAGGGTGATGAATGTTGCTTTTCCAGAGTTGTGACAAAGATGGCATGTGATTTAAGGTAGCATAATAATTGCCATTAACCACTTAATGTATCAGGCATGTGATCTCCTAGCCACCCAGTGAGTCCCATAGTAAAAACACATCTTACCAATGAAGAAACAGAGGATCCAAGACATACCTCTCCAAGAGTCACAGAGCAGGTGAGTGATGAGGGCTGGATGAGTCCAGGCACAAAAGCCCAGAATTAAACCGAGCTGGACCACCAGCTGCATCACATACAAGTGCCTCAAAATGCTCTCTGTGGTTTGTAATTGGCTCCATGAACTAAATCACCCCTTTCTATATGGTATCTCGTCTTCAGACCAGATTGAGCCACTGGGTGTTTTCTTTGTTTTTTAAGATAGTTACACTATGTAACCCAGGCTGGTCTCAAGCTTATGATACTTCTGCCTCCATGCCTGGCCACAGTTTTTATGTGGCCTACTTGCACACTGAGGTTTTTTTTTTTTTTGTCTTCCAGAAGGCTTATGATACTTTTTAGCCTTTAAATTCTTAAATTAAGTTTTGACATTGTTTATTATAATTTTCTTCCTTTTGCTGGGAGATCAAACTGAAAGGAAAAACAATTTTCCTAAGCTCACTCAGAAAAGGAGTGGCAGAGTCGGCAACAATTGACCTGTCAATGCCTGGGGTGACTCAGCTTCCCCATATGGCCACTCCTGAAGGGAGGAGCTCTCCTCCCAAGGTCATTTGGCATGTGCTGTTTCCATTGGGCAAGCAGGTGCCTTGCACAGCAAAGGCAAATGGTGCGTTATTGCTCTAGTGGGACTCTGTAACCAGGGATGGCTGCCCCCTTCCCACCCTACTCTGCAAAGCAATACTTGAAACTAAA